GTGAATCCAGGGAGAGGGAAGAGGCAGAGGGAGTGCAAGTTTGTGCTGTGCACAGTCCTCGAGTCTAAAAACATCTTAGTGAATCCAGGAAGAGGGAAGAGGAAGACGGGATGAAAGTGTGTTTATGTGGACAGGCTGTGAGTCTAAAAACATTTGAGTGAAGCCAGGAAGAGGGAAGAGGCAGAGGGGCTGGAAGTGTCTGGATATGCACAGATTGTGAGTCTTAAAAACGTGTGAGTGAATCCAGGGAGAGGGAAGTGGCAGAGGGCCTGGAAGTTTGTGCTCTGCATAGTCCTCAAGTCTAAAAATGTCTGAGTGAATCCAGGAAGAGGGAAGAGGTAGACGGGAATAAAGTGTTTGTGTGCTGTGCACAGTATTCGAGTCTAAAAAATGTCTGAGTGAATACAGGAAGGGGGGAAAGGTAGAGGTAATGGAAGTGTGTGTATGTGGACAGGCTGAGAGTCTTAAAACCCTCTGAGTGGATCCAGGGAGAGGGAAGAGGCAGAGGGACTGCAAGTTTGTGCTGTGCACAGTTCTCGAGTCTAAAAACATCTTAGTGAATCCAGGAAGAGGGAAGAGGAAGAGGGACTGCAAGTTTGTGCTGTGCACAGTTTTTGAGTCTAAAAAATGTCTGAGTGAAACCAAGAAACGGGAAAAGGCAGAGGGGAATGAAGTGTGTGTGCTATGCACAGGATGTGAACCTTAAAAACCTCTATGTGAATCCTGGAAGAGGGGAAACGTAGAGGGGATGGAAGTGCGTGTATATGGACAGGCTGTGAGTCTTAAAAACGTCTGAGTGAATCCAGGAAGAGGGAAGAGGCAGAGGGGCTGGAAGTGTGTGCGTGCTGTGCACAGTATTTGAGTCTAAAAAAAGTCTGAGTGAATCCAGGAAGAGCGAATAGTAAGAGGGGCTGGAGGTGTGTGTATGTGCACAGGCTGTGAGTCTTAAAAACATCGGAGTGAATCCAGGGAGAGGGAAGAGGAAGAGGGACTTCAGGTTTGTGCTGTACACAGTCTTCGAGTATAAAAAATGTCTGAGTGAATCAAGGAAGAGGGAAATGGCAGAGGGGATGCACGATTGTGCTATGCACAGGCTGTGAGTCTTAAAAACGTCTGAGTGAATCCAGGGAGAGTGAAGAGTCAGAGGGGATGCAAGTTTGTGCTGTACACAGTCCTCAAGGCTAAAAAATGTCTGACTGAATCCAGGAAGATGGAAAAGGCAGAGGGGCTGGAAGTGTGTGTGTGCTGTGCACAATCTTCGAATTAAAAAATGTCACAGTGGGCTTCCTGGGTAGAGCCTGCTGGTGGTGGCAGCAAAAAACCAGCTGCCTCCGAATTCCTGGCTACGTACCTGTTTAGAGGATCTTNATGAAAATGAAAATAAAATATACTAAAAGAGAGAGAGAGAAAAAAGGAAGACGTGATTGCTTTTGTGCACCATAAAGGTCTTGAAATGCTCTGTGGTGGTTTAATGGGGGGTGGGGGTGCAGTTTGCAAAATGGTGCCCTCCCCATCTCTGGGAACAGGCTTTCCCTGTTTTGCTTTTAATCTCAAAGGGAAGAGAGCACTGACTCTTTGTGAGGAAATGAATAATAATAATAATGATTTAAAAAAACCCACAGGTCTAGAAACATGTTACGTCTGTCACCTGCAGTAGAAATCTGCCTGCTTTTGCCACAGGTGGGTAATTAGACCGGCACTTGTGCTTCCGTGAGGGTTGTGGGTCAGCTGGCAGAGATTTTCCCCATTGTGGAAGGGAATAAATTATGAAACTTTGTGTGTCCCAGCATCGCACAAAGCAGAAGCGAGAATGGTCTGAAAAGGTAACTGTGAAATAGGACTGCACGAAGCTTCGAGTGTTTGTGTTTGTGTGTGTGTGTGCTTTGCTTTGGCAAGGATTTCCCACTCTGTGTGTGTGTGTGTGTTTGTGAGTGTGTGCGTGCTTCGTTTTCACAGAGCTTTCCCATTGTGGATGGGAATAAATTATGAAAATTTGCCCTGGTATCACACATCAGCCAAACAAAAAAATGTGCAGCCAGGGCTTTACGAAACTAGAGGTGCGTGTTTGTGTTTGTGTGTGTGTTAGTTTGCTTTGTGCTTGTGCTTTGCTTTGGCACTTTCATTCCCCACTGTGGATGGGAATAAATTAAGAAACTTTGCGTCCCAGCATCCCACAAAGCAGAAGTGAAAAGGGCCAGAAATAGCAACTGTGAAGTAGCACTGCACCAAGCTTCAAGTGTTTGTGTTTGTGTGTGCGTTTGTGTGTATTTGGGATTTGCTTTGGCAGGGATTTCCCACCCTGTGTGTGTTTGTGTGCGCGTGTGTTTTGCGTTTGTCCTTTGCTTTGACAGTCATTTCCCACCATGGATGGGAATAATTAGGGAAAAATTGACCCAGCGTTACAGTATTTTCGACACAGACGGGGTGGGGGGAATCTACCTGTTGTGGACTGGTTGTGTATTGGCAGCAGATTCCGACAGTGAGGAGGTTGGGGAGGAACATGGGCCAGCTCTGGAGTCTGGGAAAGGCTCTGACGAGGGCTCTGCGTTAGAGGCAGAGATGGGGCCAGGGCCATATGCCAGTTATCAGCTGCCTTCGGAGCTAGACAGCAGTGAGGCAGAGGAACAGCTGGAGCCTGTTCCCAGTGTGCGCATGTGCAGAGTTACCAGATAAAGGAAACAGCTAAGGAACAAGAGTCGACTTGGGAGTAAGGCCACAGGTGGATGGTGAATGGCCCCTCCCAGAGGAAATAAAAGAAGAGCGAAAGGGGAGTGGAGTTTGCAGGGGACAATTAGTCCATTCCTGCATTCTTGCCAATTATTGCGGCATCTGAAAGATATCGGCCTGGCTTTTCTCCAAGCCTTATAAAGGTCGGTAATTGTGAACTATCTTGAAAGACGATGGGAGAGGAAAGATTTTGCTGGAGAGGAATTCAGTGTAAATTAAATAAAAGAGGTTTCTCGAGGCCAGGACTCGGCTTCGTGCTGCTG